CATGCCTGTTAACTTCCCAGGACAAACACCTTGAGCTTAACCAGCCTGCTGCATCCTGCCTGTGGATGTCCGCCTGTTTGCGCTGCTGCTCTGTGCTGTGTGTGGCTTCAGGCTTGGCCATCTGCCCCTTGGTGGCCCTGTATCGGGGCAAGCTTGCTCTGTCTGCTGCAGAGTGGAGTGGTGGGAGGGCAGGTGTTTGTGTTCCTGTGAAGTGGCCAGGAAGGCTTGAAAGTGCCCTGTGATCTGCATCCCCGCTGGGGTGAGGCGGAACGTGGGGAGCAGGTGCGGGTTTTGCCAGCAGAGTAGTCGACTAGCCTCTGCTGCTTGGGATTCCTCTTTTCTTTAGATTCCATGTTAATTAATGCTTTGGGGGATAGAGCGCATTGTTAGAGAGGACATGGAGGGCCGGACTGTTGGTGTGGATGGTGCTAGGGGAGGGAGCTGGATGGGGACTGGGCCAGGTGACGAGGACGCGCACCTTCTTTACCAGTGTGTAGCGAACCCCACAGTGTGCAGGGGAGGTGCTGAGAGCCGGGGTTCAGCAGGTGACGCCTCTGTTCTCTCGTGCCTGTAATCTGCAGGGGTGAGGAGAGAGATTGTCAGTGGGGTGATTTACAGTACAGAACTTCACAGAACGCCATGATGGAATAGCAGGGTGGGCCTGGCTGAGTCCCTGGCCTGAGTGGGGGGGAGACCAGTGTTGAACGGGACAGAGACCTCGAGATCCTGTGACTCTGGCAAGTCCCAGAGCTGTCTGTGTAACTCTGAGAGTGTATTTCTGTCTTTGGCAGTTGCTGAGTATGTAAATTGGTGCCCACTTAAACGCTGTCTGGAGTAAAAGAAATCATCAGAGAGTTTGAATCTGGCTTTTGGTCTTGGGTTTGCGGCATTTACCATGATCCCGTGTCTTCCAGTTTGTGAGAGCAGAGGAAGAAGCCGTCCCCTGCAGCCGCGCCGCCGGCCGGCTGCGCCTTTGCTCGGCCTGCTTCTTCCGTCTCCCTCCGCGCTTGTTTTCTTCATCTGACTGAGACACAAGCTGAACACACGAGCATTTTCACCATCTTTAAGAGCTCCAATGCTTTTTGTCCTCCTCTATCAAGCTGCGTTTCACAAATATGAGGCCCTTGGGTGCCCCGCCTTTGCCCTCTCCTCTTTGACATGTGTAAGCATGGGCTTATTAATCAAGTGCGGGACACTGGGCTTCATCCCCGGCCCTCAGAAACAAACCTTTCAGAGCAGCAGTGCCTTAGGTGAAGTGCTCACTGTTTACATGGGGCATTTATCTCATCTGACCCTTGATAATCTCTAAACTAACACAGAGCAGTTACTAATTTACCTTTTGAAAGTCTAGAGCAGAGTACCGTGCAGTGACAGTAAGAATGTGTCAGTAGCCCCTTCCACTTAAGAAGAAAGTTGGGATAGTCTTGCTCCTTTTTGTTCCCGTGCCTTTCTGCAGACCCCCGAGTCCCCGTGAGGATGTCTGTGCTAACGTGGCAGCCAGCGCTCACACGGGACCTGGAGGGGACTTGCCTGCCTCTGTCTCCGCATCTGCAGCACGGTGTGAAAATTCATACCTTTGAAAAAACCTTGAATGAAAAGAAATACACAAGTCCGTGGGAAGAGCTTAGAGTGGAGACTCCGGGGAGGTTGGGAGGCAGCTGGGAAAGGTTGAGACTCCCTGCCATGGCTGCATGGCCAGCGCTGTCCCAGCATGCCCTCTCCACAGCCTGCAGGCTGGGCCTTCAGAAGAAGAGCGGAGCCAAGGCAGTGCATTATGTCATCTCTGTCCTCCTCACAGGCCTTTTGGCAAAGTCTTGAATATTCATGTTTGAAAACAAGTTCAAGTGCTGGGAGAATGGCTTTGCTGTTTACCGGGAATACGCCGACCCACAGAGGTCCATCTGAGGTGCACTCGTCCCTGAACTCTTGTTTTCCTTCGGAAAGAATAACAGGCTGGCCTGGACACTGTGAACCTTACTGTAAGAGCCAGTTTACTCTCCTCTGACTGGCCTCTTAATAGTCTTTATGACTATTAATGTATTCAGGGTCTCATTTGCAGCTCAGTTTAGCTCGCACATAGCTTGATTATGCAGTTAACTGATACGGTCCCAGTAGGGCAGCTGGGGATGAACTTACAGGTAGTTAAGCAGTGTGTACAGAAGTGATTTGTCCAGTCCCCGAGAGGCCTGCGCCGAGCTCCTCCTGTAGTAACTGAGAATACGGATGTTGTTTTTGTGTAACTGTCCTGCGCCCACTAGTGTCACTTCTTTATTTTAAAAGAAACAGAAGGACGCTGGGCATGTTGGCACACTCCTGTAATCCTAGGACTTGGGAGGCTGAGGCAAGTGGATCTTGCAAGTTCGAGACCAGCCTGCACTGCATAGCAAGACCCTGTCTCAAAAAAACACAAAAACAAAAACGAAAGAAAGAAAGAGAAGGGAGGAGCGGAACAGAAATTAAGACCACTGTGAAGGGACTACTTTGTACATACTTAGTAAATGAAAGAAGCAAATCTAGTAGCGATGGAGGTGTGGTAAAATTGAGTACACTGTTCTTTTTTTTTTTTTTCCCTAGTCTGGTGGCACTGGAAGTACACTGTTCTTTAAATGCTGACAGCATTACAAATGGTGGCTAAAACTTTGGGGAAGTTATTTGGGACCATTTAGTATTTACCACTACAATTATTCAAGGTATTTTAAACCCCCGCATTTTATTGCTGTGCTGTGTTACTAAAAGCCTGGGCCTGATGTTGATCTATGGAGCATGTGTTCCCTAAATCATGGCGCATCAGCATGATGGATTATTATATAATCTTGAAAATGTGACGATCAGGATAATGTAGGTATTTGGAAATACTGTAGTATTCAATTAATGTCAAAAGGAGTTAAATGTAAAACATCCTAATTTGTAGTATAAACAGAGTCAGAGGCCAGAAGCTAATAAGCAAAACCTAATACGGTTTTTTTGAAGTGATGGGCTTGTGAGTAATTGCTGTCTTTAATGCTGGAATCATTTTTTGTCTGTTGTTTAAAAAAAAAAGTCTTTTATTGTGGAATAATTACATCTTAACGGAAAAGTTGCAAAGATAATGTACTTCTTATAAATTCTTCACTGAGCTCCTATTATTAATGCTAAGCATGTTTTAAATTCTATTTTAAGTTGAAAATAATACCCCAAAGAGGATGACCTTTTCATAGTTACTCATGTCCCTCCCGCAGTAATAATCGTACCGTGTCTTCTGTGTCTTTGGCAAGGTACAGGTCTGACTGCCCGTGTTCTATAGTCATGACATCCCGTGTGTGGTTTTGCTTCTTGTGTTTTCGCTTAACACATTACAGATATGCAGCAGTTTGCAGCCCTGCCCACCTGTTACAGTCATCTGCGTACTTTAGCGAGTCTCCTCCACACAGACTTCCTTCCTTGTCTATAGGATTCGATTCTAAGTCTTACAGACCTAGAATTTGTTGGGAGCTCTGTGCATAACATGTTCCAGGTAGGTTTAAGAACTACCTAGGTAGCTGTCACTTCAGCCTAGCTTGATTTTACTGGTGGGTCTGTGCCAGTGTTTATTCAGGCACTTCCTGTCGGCTTTCCAGTCTTTTCTGCGTTGAAACAGCACTGTAGTTAACACCCCTATTCACCTTTACACATTGGTGTTCTCTGATGAGTGGTCCTCAAAAAAGGGTTTGCTGGGACAAATAGTACATGGTTGTGTATATTTTAAATGTTAATAGTGGTCCCCAGATTATTTTCCTAAAGAAACCTTAGTAAGTAGAAAGATCTTTTCCATTTTTAAAAAGTAAATAAGCTTTGCTATTAGATTTTCAAAGTCAGCCCCCTTTGCTTAAAAAGTGACACATGACAGATCATTCTTAATGGCAAAAGCCACGGAACTCTATTAGAATGGCGAATGTTTAATGTCCATGAAAGCCTCTGGGAGAGTCTTTTGTAATTGTTTTGTTTTCCAATAATGAATTGAAGCATCCAGAAGATGGCTGTCTCATGCTTGGCTTGTTTTCTGGCACCAGGGCGCCTTCCTCCTTAGTTTCTTTAACAGTATAAAAAAAGGCAGTTTTAAAAGCTCTGTTACTTCAGGGCTTGGCTTGAAGATGAAGAAGAAAGGTCTAGACTTGTGTCCCAGGGCAGCTCCTCTCCCTCCACCCGTCCAGCAGGATGGCTTCTGTGGAGAAATGTTTGCAAGCCTGGCATACTTGGCTTTGTGTTTTTGGTGTTTGTTTGCTTGTTTTGAGACAAGGTCTTGCTGTGTAGTCCAGGCTGGTCTCAAACTTGCAGTGAGCCTGCCTCAGCCTCCGGAATGCTGCAATTACAGGAGTGTGCCAGCACATCCAGCCGTACTTGGTATTCCTTCACAGGAGACTGCTCTGACCCCTACAGTCAGCCCTTAATTCAGGTTCCTTGTGAACATATAGCAAGGTCTGTGCAACTACAAATGTAAGGGACCATGTGTTCCTCTTTTTTTTGGATACCCAGGAGCAAACTCAGAACCTCGTGCTTGCCAGGCAGGCACTTATCCCACTGAGCTAAATCCCCAGCTCTTGGACCTTGTGTTCTTAGATGTGTCTGGTAACAGTCGGGGATAATGGTCATAAAAAGTCCTTCTATTTTAAAAATACTCAAATTTTGCATTCTATTCTGCAGTGTGTCTGTTTTAACAAGAAAAAATTTAATGACTTGTAATCAGGAAAAAAAAACCTCAAAACATTTTCCCTCCAAATTTTTTTCATAAAACTAACACTTTTATACACTTTTATAATATGCAGATCATCCTGGGCTATGTGTGTAAATATGCCTTAACTTCCTGCTTTTTCATATTGGCTTATTTCATTACTTTGCTCAGACTTTGGGTTATACTGGCAGAGTACAGATTCCTGTAGAGCAAGGTTTTCAATGTTTCTATCCCCTTCCTGTAGTTTCTATGAAAAATTCATAAGATTTCAAGAAAAGGTCCTTTAGCCTTCTCTTTGATGATCTCATTGTAGGAGGAGAGGGCGGTGAGAGATCGGAGTCTCCTCCAGATTCCAGACCATGACCAGCCCATCCCGTGGAAGGTGCAGTTTAACCTGGGCAACAGCAGCCGGCCAAGCAATCAGTGCCGAAACTCCATTCAGGGGAAGCACCTCATCACAGACGAGCTGGGTAAGGTGGCCGCCCTGCTTCCCACAGCTGGGCCGTTGTAGAGTTCTGCTTTTAGTAGAGATCCTTCTACAGTGCGTTTTCCCTTCGTGCTCACTTCGGGGTTTCCCGTCTTCTGTGTCTTTCACACTGAACTCACTGGTCCAGGTTCCCTTCGGCTCAGGGCGTCTTGATTTGATGACTGTAGCTCTTGACACTTTCTCTTGCCTGCAGCTTCCAGTGCTCGTCCGCCAGCCCTCAGGCCACTCCTGTTGTTCCCTCCAGTGTCCTGGCTTTGGATTTGGATGGTCTTTCCTTCTTATCTTGATCTGAAATCTGTAGGATAAGAGCTAAGTATTCCTCCTGAAAAAAAAAAAAGCCCACAGAATGTTGACACTCAGGAAATGCACTGCTTGATGGGCTGACCAGATAATTTCAGATGAATTGCAGACAAGTTCAAATGTGTTCTTACAGTGAATATGTCAGAGGAAGGCTTTCTTTTTTCTTTTAAGCTTAAAGGAAAAGAAAAGCGATTGCTGCCTGAGACAGACCGAATCTGCTAGCGCTCTCACCACTTGGCAGTAGCTTGACCCTCTCAGAGAGACTCCTTCCACAGAGTACTGGCCCCTGGGCTGCAAGCATTCTGTGAACACCTTGTTTGATTACGCAACACCTAAGCCACATTTGTAGGTGAAGGGATAGATACCAAGTTAAGCAACTTGCCAAAGACTGCCAGGGGCTCTTTATAACCCATAGACACGAAATACCATTGCCACATCAAGAGTAACAGTATCTCCTTGCACATAGCTAGTGTTCAAAGTTCCCTGGTTGCTTCACAGACTTTTTTTTCAACTAGCAGTTTGCAAATAACATAAGTTTAAAAATTTGTTTATAAGCACAATTTCACCCCTTTTGAAGGAGTCTCAGAACAAGTGGATTATGACCATGACAGTATTGGAATTGTTAAGGCAGACCTGTAAAGGACTCTCCACCTGCTTGTGATGAAGCTGACTTGAACGGAACATGGGCTGTCTTTAAAGTGAAAGCTACAGCTCATTACTGCTAAATGATGAAAAGAAAATCACATCCCTGCAAAATAACAAAGTAAACTTTCTCAAAAAGATCTCAAAGTCCTCAAACTGAGATGAGATTATTTCAGAATGAAGAAAGGCTTCAGAGGAAAATTGCTCACCTTGGAAAGAAAAGCACACAGTGGAGCTGAGTAACGAGAGGAAGCTTGCACAAGAAGCACACCGGTTAACGAGGGCCCGGTGCTGGGACGTGATGTGCGGGCCTATTTCTCACAGACAGAACAGGAAGTCTAAGCCTTCACTTTAGTATTTGGCATTACATTATAGCAAACAGTCCTTTTTTTTTTATCACAGCTAACAAAAGAATACTTTTCTCCTGATTAATTTAGGGGAGACAAAGACTCACAAAATCCTTGAGTGAAAAATTCCAAGAATCAACCCATCAGTGAAAATCCAAGCGTTATTTTATCTTCATGGATATTTGAAGAAGTGGTTTAATAAAACTTGTAACAACTTATGCCTTTTAGCAAGCAGATGCCACCATGAATTTTGCTAGGCTAACACATTATTAAATAAGACAACCAATTAGAATTACAAAGTTCTCAAAGGTTGAAAGTTAATTTCCCTGGCAGTAGCAACACATTTTGAGGCTGTGATCTCACAGGACTCCTTGTTGAAGTAACATTTTCATGAGTAGATTTGGGAAGCGAGATGAGCAATCGCCACTGATGAACTTGTTTCCCCAGAAGTTTGACCTGCAGTTTCTAGGCCAAATGCAGGGGTTGGCCCTGTGAAGGAGAGGAACGCGGGACACTGACATTTGCACTGCGGAGCGGGCAGGGAGATGATCTCTGCAGGTGGGGTTAGAGTCACAGTATTTTACATCCTTCTGGCAGAGCTGCAGTATGTTTTATCATTTGGGACAGACTTGAGGAAAGTGCTAGCTTACTTGGGTTTATTGTTGTTGTTGATAGCTGTAAAGAAAATGAATAGGAATACCTGGGAAGAATCCAGAAGCATTGACTATGACATTAAAATCATCTTGTCTTAATTTAGGAGACACAATAGCATAATTAACAATGCAACAAAAGGCGCCGGTTCCTGGGTAACAGGGTCTGATCCTCTTGAGGCCTCAGTTTCCCAAGCATTAGGTGAGGCCCTTTCAGTATGTCATCGTCATTCTCTTGGTGCCTCCTGCTTCTGCACAGACTTTGTTTTCCAGAGTAGTTTGTGAAAACAACCCTCAAGTGTCATTCTCTGAGGACCAGGAAGCTGGGGCATCTGCAGCAGAGCGATGCTGGGAACAGCTGCTCCCCACCTGCGGCCCGTGCACACACCTGTGGGCCCGTCAGGCACCTGGGAGCTTTGCAGGGGCCAAGTGGTGGCCCTTGTGGACTTACTCCTACATTTTTCTATCCCACTTCCAGAAGGAGGTAGCGAAGTGTCTTATTTATCAGCTCTGAATTATAAATTAGCTTCCGTAAGGAGATTTTCTTTCTATATAGAGCATGAATTGACTGATTGGAGGGGATTCATACATCTAGGTGATGGGGTCTCTGAGAAGTGCAGGAATTGGGAGGTTTTCTTTTCCTTGGGTGTAGAGAATAATGTTGCCTAATGCTAAGAGTAATTGAGTCCCTGCTATGTACATTTGCCAGCAGGCTAAATTTGAAAAGATTAGACCTCACTATTTCTATGCAAAAAATCCTCCAAATTACTGAACAACCAATAAGCATTTAAATCTATATGACACATATATATGTATACACACACACACACACACACACACACACACATTTTTTAGCTTTTGGTCTTCTGAGATGGGATATCACTGTGTAGTTCAGGCTGGTCTCAAACTCATGGTGATCCGCCTGCTTCAGTCTCCAGAGTGCTGGGATTGCAGCCATGCACCATTAAAAGATATTTTAAAGAATTATTTGTTTCTCAAACCTAGAAAGATCTCATTTTTGTAAGTTAATGCCTTTTCTCTATCTTTAGATTTTTTTTTTTAATGAAGAAATGGTATTGTCCCTCAGGCCCAGATGAAAGGTTGGCTTGCAGAGGTCAGAGCACAAACTTGTGGGCACGGCTTGCATGTTGATGAGCTGCCGCAGAGACCCGCAGCTGAAAGGACTTAGGAAGATCACAACAGGAGCCAGCCTCATCAGGGTGTCTGCCCCCTGAGTCCTTCGTGCTTACGTGCTACGGTCCCCTGCTGCCAGCTTCTCTCTCGCTCCTGTGCCGTCTCTGTTGCCGCTTCCTGGGCACCTTGGTAGGGAGGTAGGGAATGGTTCCTACTGAGGTTGACCTCTGACCTGCAGGCTACGTCTGTGAGCGGAAGGACTTGCTGGCCAACGGCTGCTGCGATGGCAGCGTCCCCAGCACGAAGCAGTACTGCTGCGACGGCTGCCTGGCCAACGGCTGCTGCAGCGCCTACGAGTACTGTGTCTCCTGCTGCCTGCAGCCCAGCAAGGTACGCGGGCGCTGCCCAGGCCGCCCTCTCTCTTCAGCACTGGTGTGATGGTGAGCTGTAGGCCCGGCATGGGGCGGTGGGGTGTTCTTCTGACTACGGAAGTCAGAGAGGAGCTTTGCAGGAGCTTTGTCTGCGAGGGAGCTGTTCCCGATCACTTGGTTTTCGCAGAGCAGACCATCGCTTTGCTGATCAGATATCCAGTGCCTGAGAGACCCGGCTCCCTCTTCTCTCCCCCATATCAGCATTTTTTTACTTGAGGAGAGAGCCAAGGTTACCTTGCATTGGCTTGGCTGGGAATTATTACAGGTGCTAACTTCTGTCTCCATAGCAACTTCTCCTGGAGCGCTTCCTCAACCGGGCAGCCGTGGCCTTCCAGAACCTCTTCCTGGCAGTCGAAGACCACTTCGAGTTGTGTCTGGCCAAATGCAGGACCTCCTCTCAGGTCAGCAGCTCTGCGGGCCCTTGCCGGGGAGGCGGGTGCGCGTCAGCAGTTGGAGGAGACCAGCAGGTGCACACGGAGTGGAGTGGTGATGGAGGAGAGGCTGGAGTGCAGCTACGCTGCCAAAGTTTGGGGCAGTGATAGTGTTTAGGATGCCAGCGCGAGAGTCACCCAAGTTAGGGAAGTGAAGGGTTTCTGTTAAATCAGGGTCCAACAGCTTGCAGCTCTCCTGTCTGCTGGACCTGACGCACTTAAATGGAAACATGAAATTATTTTTCTAAGTCAGCATGGAATTCTAATAGGTCAGCTCCTAAGAGATGCTCTCGCCCGCCTTTAACTGAAATTTGACTAAAGCTTCCCAACAAACCCCTCATTTGGAATGAGCAGTAATTTGCTCTGAGGCAGGGTTGTGGTTAATTTAGGATTCAAGGGGATCAGGCAGGTGGCTTTAAAAATACATGAAGAACTCAAGGCGTTGATGCGCATCAGTGTGCTGTCATCGGCCCCGTGTTCTCCGGGCGTCTTGCCCGCACCTGCCACGGCTGCCGAGAGGTCTGTGCCTGCGCCTGGGCCTGGGCGGCTGCCGCGGCTCTGGGGAGAAGCACCAGATGTGTGTGTTACACAAGCACTCTCCTCTGGCTGCTGTTCTTGATGTCACCATGTTAAAAGCATTTTTTCCCTTAACTGATAAAACCCAGGAGGTATTCCCAATCCTAAGTGAAGTGTCTCTACTTTTTGCCTTTTCTTTTTTATTGTAGAAATTTCCCGTTGCGGTTCAGTGTGAGATGATACCGGTGTCCTGGGGAAGAGATGACTTGGCTGCATTCTACTAAATTGAATGAATACTTACACTCAGTGCTTAGCATTGATCTTAAGCTAATTATTGAGCTCTCTCGGCCAGCCAGAAATTCAGGTTGCCTGTATGAAAACAGATTCGCTGTTGGGCGTGATTGCTCTAAATCACACTGGGACTCTTCTGGCCAAGGGGAGCCAGTGTGGTTGTGCAGGGTTTGGCTCCTGCACCAGAACTTGAGTTCCATAAACATCCTAGGAGCCATTTGGAGTAAGATCTCCGTAGGGCTCCTGATGGGGAACAGAATTTCTTTGGAGCCCAGCGTTAAGTGCAACATCTATTGGATCTTAATCTGTTTGAAACAATTTGAAAAAAAATATCGTCTCAGTCCATCTAGGTCATATTGAGGTTACTAAAAAGCTCCCTGGTGGACATAAGTACAATTATATGGTTACATGTGTCCATCTCAGTGCCCTTCTTAAGCAGTCTGTGCCGAATGTCCTGTGTTCCAGAATGTTGGTTGGGGGGCTGGGGATTTAGCTCAGCGGCATAAGCGCCTGCATTGCAAGGGAGGTGTGTGCAGCTCTGCCCTCACACTGCACTCTGCCTTCCTTTTGCCAACAGAGCGTGCAGCACGAGAACACCTACCGGGACCCCGTAGCCAAGTACTGCTATGGAGACAGCCCGCCGGAGCTCTTCCCCGCGTGACGGAAGACAGTCGGCAGGAGGCCCCGAGGAGCTCACCTGGGCCCACTCTAGTGCCCAGGCCTGTCCACGGGAGGAGCTAGGTGCACTTGGGTACCAGGACACCTTCACTCTGGCCTCCCATAGTGTCGCCAGGCTCTGCTCAGCACAGAGCACGACCGGATGGAGCTCTTCAGTCAAGCAGCCAAGAGCCTCAGCTGGTCCTGGGGCCGGGCTGAGCTGGTTGGAGCAACGCTGGCTGTTGCAAGATGTGGCTCAGGTGCCTGCACAGGGACCCGGACTTGGGTTTGTCTGGTGTCCACTGCCATTTTGATCCAGGCCCTCTCTCACTGTATGTTTATTTATTGGATCTCTTTGGAGTGGTGGGGAAATGCAGTGTTTGATTCAGGACAATGCCTTGCCATCCTAGTTGAGTATACTCAAGGAAATTACTTTTGTGGTTTCTCAGTTTCATGGCTTAAAACCCTGTGTTCACCCAGATAAAATGGCTTGTCTCTGAGGATGTGGGTATTCTCTCTTAGGATGTGGATAGTCTCTTAGTTATTTTTGGTTTTAACAGTGTCTTCAAGAATGGGCCTTGCGTACAACCTAGTTGGCATGTCCTGGCACCTCTCGGTATCTAAAACCTCAAAAGACACTGTTGTAATCCTGGGTGAAACCACCAGCACTTCGGTGCCTCGGGCCCTCAGGCCCGTCTCTCTGACCCTACCGTGCACCCTAGGCGAGGGCCCTGTTTGAGCCAGCAGCCTGCTCGTTGTCCTGGAGGAGCTGGTCTTGGCTTCCTGCTCCAGGGCAGCAGGGGAGCCCGAGGCCCCTGTCCTGTGGTGGTACCCGGCAGTAAGGTGATCGTACCCTGCATTCCCGCCTGCCATTGGCCTCAGGCTGTCGCAGATGCAGACAGTTTTCCTATGCAAAGGATGGCAAACCTCATAGGGCTTCCAGTGACGCCGTTGGCCCGCTGTGGCACGTGTGCCAGAGGTTTGTCGCCGCGGCCCTAGGACTTTTGAAGCTGAAAACCCAAGTTTCTGTGAAAGGGCTGGACAGTTTTACCTGCCCTCTGTGGGATGCGTGTGAGCGTCACCAATAGGACACCAAGCGCCTGGGCTGTGCTTGTGCTGGACCCCGGGCGTGGAGCGCTGTGCATTCTCCAGCTGCGTCTCACGCTTATGCCTGGAATGTGTGGTCCGAGATTAAGACATCCTGGCTCTTGCAGGGTGCTGCCTGGGACTTCAGGAGTCCCTTGAACACACCCCCTCCGGGACCCCTTACTAACTTAGGCACGCACCAGGCTGGTTTCATTGTGTCAGTTGTTCAGGCTGACCTGGAAGCAGGGTGCTGGTTGGTGATCTGCTTTGAGCACTGTTTCTCCCTTTTTTTGTTTCCCCCAGCACTGGTGACTGAATCCAGGGTCTTTCCACTGAACTATAACTATATTTTGTGTTTTATTTTGAGATAGAGTCTCACTAATTTACTAAATTGTCAAAGGTAGGGCTGGAACCTGTGGTCCCTCTGTCCGTGCCTCCCAGGACGCTGGATTATAGGCGTGCACCCAGCGTGCCCAGTGTGACGGCTGTTTCCCTTTTCTTTTTTCTGGGTGTTCCTTTGAAACAGGTTCTCACTCTGCGTGTAGCTCCGATGGGCCTTGGACTCACTGCCTCATCCAGGCTGGTCTCACGGGTGATCTCCTGCCTCCGCCTGAGCTTTTTCTCTGGGCCTTGTTTGCCTTCTGGTATATGTTTCTGCAGTAAGCCGTGGCAGTTTCCTTTAACTTCCTCTGCTACCTCTAAAAATTACCTCCCTAACATCATTTGCCCCACTAAGTAAGTTTTCTTAGAGGGTAAGCTGTCAGGCAGCTGTTCTGTAAGATTAGATCCAAAACACAAAAACAAAAAACCTGAACAGTTTTGAGCTTCTGTGTGAGATCAAACTCTGAGGGAGCCGAGTGTTTTCCCTCGTGGTTTTCAGCAGCTCGGTGTGGAGCCTGTACCTCGCGGGTGCTGCTGTCACCCTGTGTGAGGCTGTTTTGACCTTGAGCGGTGTGATGCAGACTTACCGGGTGCTTGCACTGCTCACGGCCTCCACTGCGCCCTAGGACAGCACCTTCCCCGCATTCCCCGCTCTGCTACAGGGACTGCAGCCCTCTGCTGACCAGGCAGCGACACTTGTGTTTGCACTCCGGAGATGAGGAAAGAGAGGGGTGAGATGCCCCCGAGTCCTGCCGAGATGGAGTGACCGAACCCGACCAGGCCGCGTCTTGATTCTGGCCCGGTGCGCACTCCCTCTATTTCCCCGGAGGCCTCTGGATGTCAGTTGTCGGTCAGGGGTGGTGGGCGTATCCAAATTAGGTCGGTATCCCAAGGCCATTTGCATTTGGCCGTGCAGTATGTTTTTGTACTCAAATCAGCTGGGGTGAGCGTACTGTGTGTAGTAAGTCGGGGCCCAGCCGCCCCGCAGGCCTCGCCTTGCTGCTCCCCACGCCCCAGGCTGTCTCTGGCTTCCTTGCTGCAGCGGGAGCTTTGCTGTGCTTCTATTTGTCCAGGTCCCAGCAAAGTGCATGTTAGCATGTTGAGAGTTTAGGAAAAGACCCCTAAGTAAAGATAAGAGCTGCCGCAGTTTAGGAAAACAAATTATTAACTACTGAGAGCTTGGGTCTAAAGGCAGCTGAGTAGTTGTGAGCGGTCCTCTCCATCTTGGGCCTTTTATTGGCCATCCCTGTTACTGGAAACTCAGCATAGGAAGTGTCCTGACAGGGAGGAGCACACTGCAGAGTGAAGGGCTCCGAGGGCCGGCAGATGGGGCCCGGGAGCCAGTGTGGACGGTGAGCTGGGGCTCCGGGAGGAAACGGGGACACGGGAACGGCCGCACGGCCCCTGACAGTCTGGTGGATGGGCTGTGTGTGCACAGAGACCGCCTGCTAGGCATCTCCTTCGCAGGCGGGAGACACGCGGCCTCGGGCAGGCGCTTTCCTCCCGGGACTCGCAGGCCGTTCTGTAAAGTGGGCCCATCTCTGCGGGACGGGCAGGAGGTCACTGTGGCTGTCGGCAGCCTGGGGGGGTGGGGGGATGGACGGGACTGGGAATTACTGAGCCCTTCTTATTTACTATTAGTAAGGATGAAAATTTCAGATAATTCAAAAATAGCAAGCAGTAAAATTAATGACCCACATTCACACAGCCTGGAGATAAGTGGGAGCCATTTTCCCCTTCTCTGTGACTTTCTAGGAAGAGAGGAGGCCACTTACTCCTCATGAAAACAACCCTTGCATGGTGCACAGGAACCTCTGTGATGTGCTTGGCCACAGTGTCAGTTTCATGGCTCTGCAGCACTGTGATCGATTCACTGCTGAGGGCCGTTAGCTCGTGCCCAGGGAGGGTCGCTTCGTTTGCTACTGCAAATAACGCAGTGATGGTACCTTTTATATACAGTGTGTGTGTTTCTCTGAATTGTTCTCGCCAGTGTACGCTACCTAATGTGTATGATAGTGCTCTGTCCTACCCTAGTAACGCTGTTACCAGATTTAAACTCTTTGCTATTGCATTTCAGTGTTCTACTTTGTATCTGGACTATTTTAAAAAAATTCATAACATTGCCTTTTATGTATCAAAACTCGTACTGAGCGGTGAGTTCCCGAGAGTAAAAGGGGGTTCGATTTTGCATCTCTGTCTGTCTGTGTTCTAAGCTAAACAATAACATACACAGTGCTGTGAATTTGTATTTTTTCAATTTTTAGTGAGATGATCGCCCTTCCGTGCTCCGATTGGCCATTTATCATTCACACAGGTTCATCGCCCCTGTCACTTGAGCTCTCTTTCCTCCTGATTATTCATGCGCATTTCTAAATGGAAGAAGCCTTAACTCTTCTGTCTCTTGTTCCTGTGACCCTCAAGCAAGGGGCTCACATACTGACAAACTCACTTTTCCAGCAGATCTAGGGCAGCGTTCTCCCCCAGGGGCAGTTTTACCCCCTGGGGGACGTTTGTCAGTGTGGAGTGGAGGAGGTGCTGGCTGCATCCCGTGGAGCGGCCAGGGCCGCGTCAGTGTGCAGGGAGCACAGGGCACCCCGCCCTGCGGAGTCCACGGTGCCTCTGGGTCAGGTCTGCCCCTCAGGCTGAGCAGCGCGGTACTGAGTGCTGACTTCATTATTCCCGGCCCTGGCGTTCTTCAGTGCTGAGTGCTGCTGATTAGATTACCCTGCAGTCCCCATGGGATGCTCTGCTTCCTTACAGGTCTCCAGCAGCCCAGTGCTGCCACAGGGCCCGCGTTCATGCCTTGCCGTGGAGGCCTCGCCATGGCACAGCTGTCTGCAGGAGAGTGCCATCCCTGCCTCCAGGATGGGGCAGAGGCTCCCACATGCTGAGTACCACAGCAGCTCAGCTGCAAGTGTGGAGGGGGGTGTGCGCCTGTGCTTACAGATTCCACTTAGAAAACAGGCCGTTCCACTGCAAAGCATCGCGTAAATAAGTAAGTAGTGATAGCACAAGCAAATAGAAGAAGAGCTCATGGCACTCCAAGAGGGTCTGTCCATAGCACGGCCTGCCCCGGTGCCTGCCACCGCTGCCTGCCCCCTGCAGGCGTCCTCCTGGATGTGCTCTTAACACGGCGTGTGGTGGGCCTCCAGTTCCAGGCCCAGTTGTAGCTGCCACGTACTGGTCCAGGCTGCTTCCAGAGACGGGAAGTGGAGGAAGTGGCCAGCGTGGGCCTAGGCCTGGGTGTTGTGTTCGTGTCACTGACTCCGCATCCCTGCTGAACTTTGGTGGTGAGCTTCTGAGGTCAGAGGTGAGCTGCTAGGCTGTAAGATGAGAGCTCAGCCCTTCGGAGTGCAAACGAACAAAGCAGTGTGCAGTGCGAGCCAGCGGGCCATGCAGGTAATAACCGACCTTCTTCCCTAGTGTTGGGACTGAACCCAAGGGACACTGAGTCATCCCGAACTGCCCTTTTCCTTTTGAGACAGGGTCCTACTAAGTTGCCAGACTGGCCTCGAACTTGCAACGCTCCTGCCTTAACCTCCCAAGTCGTAGGGATTACACTGCTCACCTCTGCACCTGGCTGGTCCACTTGTACAGTGTTACTTCCCTGGACTGCACATTCTTCGGGACTGGAAGGACCAAAGTATTTTACTGCTAGAGGTACATCAGTAACAAGTGAACACTTCTCAAGTTGCTCCTGGGGCAAATAGTTTCTTCACTCCTTGGGATTTTTTTTTTAATTGATAAGTTTTTAATGCAGCTGTGAATGTGAGCTTTGGGTCAGAATACATGATAATCCAGAGTCAAAAGTGGTGTTGCCTAAATGAGAAATCCCTGTCGGCAGTGGCCACATGTCACTGTTGCTAAGGAGATTGTGTGTGTGTGGTCTTGTAGGGATGGTGTAAAGCTGTAAAGATAAGCATGTTGACTAAAACGCTTCTTGTGTAGGTACGTGGTCATCGCTGCTACACTGGTCGGTTGATGACATGCTGCTGGCTGTGTCCCCATGACATTGTTTGCATGCCTGTGTGTCTGTAGTGCAACAGCCGTGTGAAGGATGTGAACAGCATTCTAATTTTACTGACGAGCCCAGGTATTAATGACCTTGAATAAGTTAACCCTCCTGGCTTCGGTTTCCTCATCTGATACTTGAGGCTGATGGCTAAGAAACCTCGTAGCTGAGTCCTCGGACTTCTGAAACCAGAAGTCCCTGCCTGATGAAGGCGAGACCAGCGTCCGTGTGTCCCAGCCACGTGGCTGTGGGCTTGCTGCTCACGGGGTGAGTGGTCACGGCCGTCCAGAGCCCGCTTCCTCCAGGCTGGAGTCCTCGATTCTCTCTTGAAGATTTCAGTGTGGGTAACTGTTCAGCCTGCCACTTCCTTATCAGTTTTAAACACTCTTTCTGTGCTGGGACCACCTCATTGTAGGTTGCTGGCCTGTACCTGTGAGGGCAGCTGCTTTATTATCTGTCACAGAAACAGGTGTCTTCAGCAGGGCGACCGAGGACCGGGACAGATTGCTCACATTCCAGGGCTGGGTTCTGCGGGTGCCCTTACCCTGCAAGCCAGGGCATCCCCAGATGCCTGGGCTGCACTCGCTGCATGCTGCCCAGCCTTTCATGCTTCTGTATTATGGTGCAGAAGCCTTAAAATGTACAAACTCACACGCGCGTGTGCACACGTAAAAGCCAGATTATATTCCTAGCCACCAATTAAATGTTGTGATGGAAAGTTTTTCCTGTAGTTTGCATCTAAGTACCTCTTCTGTATTTGTACATAAATATAGGATCCCACTGTATATCTTACTATAAAATAATTAGTCCCTGCTAGATTGATTTAATCCAATTATAGCTAATTCATCCACAGAACAGGAAAGTGCACACTCTGCTTTGTTACCCTGCCTTGAAAATTGAAGCCCAGCTAGAGGTTAAAGCCCTTTTATAATTGTGTGCGAGTTTGGCTTTGCTTTTCCTGTATCCTTTTTCCTTGTCTGCTTTTTACACAGTGGGGAAAAGAAGCCTTTTTTGTTCTTCACAAATAAATTACAGTCATTTTCTGCGGCCAGATTTGGCCTGCGGTAAGCACGCTGAAGACAGATCCTGCCGCAGGCTGAAGAGTGTGCCGGGCTGCCCTGTGCTTTGCCGAGAAAGCCCGGAGGCGCGGGTCGGCCAGACCCTCACTCAGCGTGCTGTTCATTCTAGGAATCACTGAGTGCACAGATAGAAGAAAAAAGAAAAAAGCCAGGAAGAGAATGGGTCTCACCCGAGAGGCGGCATTGCAAAATGCTCATCCGAACCAAGGTAGCCCAGCACCGTGCCTACCCAGAGTCTTGTCCCATGGGGCAAGGACTTTGGTTTTGTGTTTGTGACACTGGAGAGTGAACCCAGGGCCCTCGGCTGAGCGACATCCCAGCCCATGTTGCATTTACTTTGACATGACGTCATTCATTTGCCCAGGCAGAGTTTGAACTTGGGATCCTCCCACCCAGCCTCCCATGTTACAGATGTCCTGCTCCTGGCTAGGGCTTCAGTGTTGAAAGATGTCCCTGAGCGCTCTGTGGCTTCCCCAGCAGGTGCTCTTGGAGCTGAGATCTGCTCCAGGGCCACAAGGAACGCTCCCCACAGGCTGGACGTGGTGTCCCCCAGTCTAACCCTGACGGGCTTTGCCTGCAGCCTACGAAATGCCAGCTTGGAAGCCCGAGGTAAATAGTCTTGCAGCAGCTGAGCAGTTGGGCGGCCTAATTAATTTGACACGAATAAGCTCCCCTGACCTGATTTAGCACTGGGAGGCAGCAGGGTGAGTCCAGCACCATCGCCAGCCCTTTGCCTCCTCACAGCTCCCGGACAGCTGTGCAAACGACACTTGGGTGTGATTTCCAGGGGGATGGGGCAGAGGAGCCGAGGGGGAGGCGTGGCGTTGGTGGCACACACAAGACAGTTGCTCTCTGTGCCACTTGGTGGCACCAGCGTCCTAGGTTTCCCGCCCTCCGCTTGCTCCTTGTGCAGAAATTGCGGCTGGTGCCCGTGCATGCAGCTAACAATGACACGGTTTCTATGTCTGGAGAGCCATGTGGTGTGGTGACAAATCCAGAGTGTCTCCTGGTCCTGGCAGTCTGCGGACAGGGACTCGGGGAGGGGGACAGGGAGAGTGTGTGGAGCCAAGAGAGCACCTGTGGCCACCCCCGTCCTCTGCCCTGTCCCCCACCACGACAGAAAGTCGCCACCCTCTTCCCTGTCCTCACTGGACAAAGGAAAGCGCCCTGGGGATGCACCGTGCTGCACGTGGCCCCTCTTCCGAGGCAGGAGGGGGACACAGGCCCAGCCGCAGTGTGCTGAAGGTCACAGAGTTAGGTAGGGACGTCATGCGGTCTGCACCCCGACTCTGGAGCACCCCGGGGCGTGGTCCTGCTGGGCACCTTGCAGTGACGAGAAAGCTGCTGTCTAACGGTCCTGTCCAGCTCCTCGCACGGTGCTGGGGCAGCCGAGCCCCCGCTGAAGGGAGTGGCATCAGGTGCTAAGGACTTGCACAGGTGCGTGGCATCTTTGTGGCTTGGGGCAGCCAGGGATTTGAGTGCAGGCCTGCCTTGTCCTTAGCGAAGACTTGGATCTCTGTGAGGCCGGGGCTCTGCTGGGCTGGAGGGAGGGCAGCGAGGCTGCATTTGGCCTGGAATGCGCTGTTTGCCCTGCGGATCTGGTCATCCCGGCTTGAGCAAACTGTTCCACCTCCCCTCTGCTGGTCCCCCACAGGAGGGATTTGGAAGAAGTACAGCCATGCTGAGAGGGCTGCGGCTCAGCATCCTTTTTGCCACCTGCCATGGTCTGCATCTTTGGGTGTCTTGTCCCCACCCCTGAGTTCATAGGTTGTGTCCAGTGGGACTGTGTTTGGGCCCAGAGTCTTTAAATCAGCGACAGCCTTCAAAGGAGGCCATGAGGACCCCGTCCCTGCCCCCACTGGTGTCTTCATAAGAGAGAGAGAGATCTAGCACGGGGTGGGGGGCTGAGGCAAGAGGGTTGTGAGTTCAAGGCCAGCCTGGACGACTACCTAGTGAGACACTGTCTCAAAGACTAAAAGGAAGAAGGAGAGAGACTCAAAGAATGCCCAAGCAGGAGGACAGTCCCGTGCAGACACAGCAGACGGCAACGTCTGCAGACCACCGAGCGACACCTCAGGAGACACCAAGCCTGCGGCAGC